TGCCAGTCAGTCAAGACTAAACTAAATTGACAATAAGTAGAATATATACCATCACCAAGGTCCAACAGTCCCCTTAAATTCAATCAAGCTGCACCAAATTGCACACAAACTGGCGTAATGCTGTGTCTCTGTTCCTGAAATGTTTTGCCCTCTGTCATCATGTTCATGTTTGAGAAAATGAACTCTTTCCATCAGCAGTTTTCATTATTGTCAAATTGTTGTCGTTGTTTCTGTCAGTCTGTGGAGTCACAGTTTCAGGGTCACATGGCCACCGTTTGATATTTCACATCCAGCCTCCTCGCTGTATCATTTTTGAAAAGGTGTGAAAATACAGCTTTGATGGCATTCCCTGTCTCATTGGAAGGAATTTATCAGCCATGAAATTGTCAATCACGGTTCTGGAAGAGAGGATGAGACTCACACAGTTCTGGGCACAAACATGCTGTGTTCCATTGCTGTGGCACAAGGGAGAGATTGTGAGAAATGTAATTATTTGTCATCTATTGCTGAATTAACTGAAATGCAGGCAAATTAGGCCTCACTTCAGGCATTGTTTAAGAAAGATTATCAGAGATTACAGAGCTGCAGGAGTTAAATCCTAGACTCTGTGTTTTTATCTTTTGCTCAAAATGTCTTATTACATTAAATACAGTTCAATGCAGCGTTTAAGTGAATTAATGGCATTAGTGCTTCACTCAAAGGCTGTTTGATGAGGACATAGGGCACTGTAGTGTCTCTCAGCCGGTCTTCAAGAGTAAACAGCTTCGGTTTATTGATTTGACTTTCTGCTTCCAGCCGAATGTTTAATTTACTGGAATAATTGAGTTCACTTCAAGCACAAAACCCTAATGTTCTGCACTTTTCATGGAGTGCATATATGTTAGCATTGTCTACGTGGTGTTGAACATTCACAATCCATAAACGGGTCTATCATCAATATTAAATACAGTAGTATTTGACTTATAGTGTGATTTCAAAGTTGTTAAAGTGCGATGACGTCAGTATCTCATGTTTGAGAGAGTCTCTGGTATTTCCTGAGGAAACCACTTCACCATCAGAGTTTTACCCCCACCTACCCCGCAGCTCCACAGCCTCGAATCTACCCCCACTGTCCTCGTCCCCATCTCCTTTTTCAAGGCTTGTCCTTTCCAATTTCCCCCTCCTCCTCCCCCTCTCCTGTCCTCAAATGCACCCACTCCTTTCTTTTTCGTTCCTGCTCTGCTTTTTCGTTTCTCATTCGCATCTCCATTAAGGAGGTCCTTGCTATGCACAAACATCCTCTCCCTCTTCTTCCTCACATCACGCACTGTAGTCCTCCTCCTCGTTGTCCCCCTCTTTCCCTCCTCCTCCTACTCATGCCGGTCGCTTTCTTTCTATTTATCCTCTTCCTCTCACCAGATATGCTGCAGTAAATTTCTGCTCAGGCCTCATGTGAGAGCTTTCAGGGAATCATTTGATTTGGAGCAAGTAAAAATTAGTCATAGCAGCAGATTATTAGGCTGGATTTAAACATTATCAGGAGGCTGCTCTATCCATTGAATTTGATTCAGGCCTTTTAATGGGATTATTTTGAGTCCCTTTGATGCATGTAGACGTGGAGCGCTTGTGAATGGCAGCTGGAACTGAAAGTCCTCCATCAAGGAAAGAAGCATGTATCAAAAGTGCCTCTGAGCTATTTGGAGGAAGGAGTTATTACAGAACAAGATGAATCAGTGTGTAGGAAAGTTTGAAGTAATGGTGTTAAGAGGTTCTCACACCACACAAAAGTAATCACAGCAGAGCGGCGCCCAGGAGAAGAGAGGAGAAACAACAGAAAACACAGGGCACAGCGGTGACGCTGGGAGTGAAATAAAAGCAAAGCAGACACGCGGTAGCTGTCACCTGAAGTTGTGCAGACTCGCAGCTCGGTAAAAGTGTTAAGTCATCATCCAAAACACAGCATCTGTTCACCAACAGCCTCTCAATGTTTCTGTCTGTCTGAATGACTACGAACCAGCGCAATACGAAAGAAGAAAAACAGGAACAAAACAGCTGTGGTACTTTGAGCTAAATGCTTATGTCTCACAGCAGCATAACCTTTAGATATAGTGAACTATGGGAAACTGTTAATAAATTGTAACTTAATTGACTTACGATTATTTACTTAAAGTCTGAATCTATTTTTAAAATTATTCCACAGCCGTGCTTTGAGTTATTCTAATGTCAACATCCTGGTCACACTGACAGCACTAATGTGCTGACTTTAATGTTCACCATCTTTGTTTAATAGTTAGCATGCCAACATTTGTTCATCATCAACCAAAGCACAGGACGAAGTAAAATGCTCAGCGATAGATAAAAAGTTAAGTAAAGAATGGTGAGGCTTTTTAATAATGCATCACTTTTTTAACTCTCAACTAGTCTCTTGTTTCAGCTTCAGTTTCACCTCATATGGGAGTTTGCTGCTTCTTCAGTTTTCATTAATAATGTATTGTCTTCGGTTCTTGGATTAGTATTTTAGAACATCCCTTCAGTTTTTAGAAAACTGAGGGCCAAGCAATCTGATGAATCTAGAAAGTAATCAGCGCATGAATCAACTCAAAAGGCACTCAGTAGAGCAAATCCCTCCTTCAAGGCTGAACAATGCGAAGCTGTTTACAGACAAGAAATTCAGAGTGTCTGCACAGTGTGGTCCGGTCTGTCTCTGGAGTTTGTCTTTCACATGAACAAAGCATCAGGAGGGTCAGTCACGTTCACAACTACAGAAACGTCCAGTGTTCAGGCGAGTGGTGGCACAGCATGCTGTAGGCAGGACTTCAAATATTCATTCCGCTGTGGAGGTCACACGTTTTTCTTAGTTCTCACCAAATGCTCTCTGATCTCGTTGTCTTTGTTAACATTTTCTTTGACTTCCTCTACGTGTATGGCGCCTCTTTTTAATTCTTAGATATTTGTATTCTTTTTATATTTTTTCAGATTTGCATCTGTCACATGTTAGAAACTTCACTAAAGTGCCCACTCGCTAGCGGAGAATCTTCTGGAAAAACTCCTTCTGTTCGAACATTATCTGAAGTTTTTACTGGGGGGGCTGGCAGGAAAAGCCCCAGAGAATGTCCACAGCCCCTCCACCCAGGATAGTTTCAGGAGATTATCTGGAGTTCATGCCTGAAAGCAGCTTAGACATCGTTCTTATAGTAGTAATGCAAAAGAAAATAGTTGGTTTGATAACCTAAATGATCTTTAATCCTGGTTCCTCTACATCCACACCAACAGGTTCTGGGTTCTTCCCAGGCCCAGACGCCACCCATCAACCAAGTTTTGTAGAAATTGGTTCAGTAGTTTTTGAACTAATTAGCAAGGCTAATAAGGCAATTAAAAAACTTACAAATAGACACATAAGTGAAAACATTACCCCCTTAGTGGATGTAATAAGGAAAATAACTATTGTTACTTGCATCCCTAGTTCAAATATTTCAGCATTTTCAGCATGGCCACAAATGTCAACACAACCTGGCTGCATTAACTGTCCGACAGACAACAGCGTATCCTGGACGAATCTCATTCTCATTACAGGTTTAACCAGAATCTCCCGGGCAAGACAACAATTTCCATGTTAAGCTGTCCTCATTACCACTACTTAGTACTTAACAGTTAAATACACTAATTGGCTTGGTTTACTGCATATGGGCTAAGAAGTTTAATCTGGCTGTTGATGAATTATCATCACACAGAAAGAGGCAGAGACTGGGGAATGAATGAAGGAATTCTGCATCTTCAAATCTCTTTTTGTCAAAGGTTTTCAGATTACTCACATTTGTTTCATTGTTGTCTTTTTTGTGCTACAGCTTTGAGAGGCAAAATAAACACGTCAGTCCACAGACAGACTTCAACCTGTTTAGTAACAGGTCCAAAGACATGACAGCTGATAAATCAGGGTAAAGATGAGCTACAAAGACAGAAACAGAGAAGGAGGAAAAAGGTGAAAGAAGAGCACACTCGGGGACCAGAGAGAGTGAAACCTGCCAAAAAACAGATGGAATTCGGCTCAGCCTTCTGCGTTATTAAAAGTTGAAGTGGTTCTCGTCCTGTCACCATGACAACCCATGCTGGCAAAAAAAAAAAAAGGTAGAAATAGGTAGACGGAAAGTAGAAAAGATATTTAGATAAAATGAGAAAGAAAGGTTTGGAAAAGTAAAGATGAGAAGAGAGTGGTAGAGATGGAGAATGAAAGAGAAACAGAGGAGAGGAAATGAGTGCAAGCTTTAAAAAACGTGTGGTTGTATGAAAGTGTTTATAAGATTGTAGATTTTGTGTGTGTGTGTTTGTGTGTGTGTGTGTGAGACAGAGATAAATTGAGAACGAGATATCCTTGTGTCTGTAAACCTCGTTGCTGTGGATTCTTTCTATCCACAGTGATAAAGCTAGGCTTATCAGTGTGTGTATATGTGTGCCTGCGTGCGTGTGTGTGCGTGTGCTATAATTACAGAGAGCAGCTTTACTGCCATCATAAAGGCATCAAATAGGCAAATAAAAAGAATGTTCTCACAGACACACAAGGTTATATAGCGAGCAGAAGTCTGTTTATGTAGGCTTGGAATTACAAGTTAATAATTTCTGGGCAGGAACTGATCTGATGAAGAGAGGAAATGAAATGAGGGATTCATATTTGTCCCCCATATGCCATTAATCTTCCAATTTTAAAATCAACCAACAACTTCTTCTTGTACGCTACTTTAACCATGGAGTCTTGTTGCAGCTCCTGGCAGCATGACAGTCAGTGGATTCAGATAACAATATTTCTTCAGAATATTTGCGGATCCATTTTGGCCGTCACATAGCCCGGGGGTTGAAAACAATCTTTTAAAATCAAAATGCAAAAAAGTATCTTCCCTGTGTTGGCAAGACAAAGAGGCTTTCATGGACTGTGCTGCCTCATTGTGTGTGAAATCCACGAGACACTAAAATAAGGAGATGTGTGTGTGTGTGTTTATTTATTTTTAATATTTGTGTTTGTCTTGCAGAATTGGCTCAGAGTTCGTTCCATGCCAAACGCTCAAGTATGTATGAGAGTCAGGAAGGTTCATTTGACACCTAATCTACATCTGATTATGGGCTGAAATTGCCTTCCATAATGTGATCCCCGCCTTCACCAATCAGGTTCAGGATGAGTCATGATGTGATTGCATTCAGGAACATCCGCAACTACCTCTAATCATATTGATTACACAACACAGTGAAATCTCCTTTTTTAATGATCTGTTGGAGCATGTTTAATTATAGTAGAATTAATTTTTTCACTCATATACAGTACTCGTGTAATCCCTCTCATGACTGAATTGTTAATCAACACTCAAAGAAAAGCATAATTTTAAGCACTAAAATAGCATCTGTTTTTATTTTATTTTCATCTGCCATCGTTTCATGTATCTCAGTTCAAATTCAATTAAATTAATCCATCTAATAATTCCAGGAAATCTGTCTGTCTGTCTGGTTGTCGTTCGCATATCTCGAGAACCATTCTCTGACAAATAAGTGCAGTGTTGGATTCTGTGGGATTTGAACCTAAGATAAATTCAATATTAACAATGTAAGTGACATTGTAGATCACAACAACAGCACATCCACGACAACAACTGATTCTCGAGATTATGGTTCTGTGTTCTGAGTTAATCATATTTTGTTCTTGCTTTTAATTTCTGTGTTCGTCTCCATCTGTGTCTTATCTTTACACCTTCCACATATATCTGTGGTTACAACTTCTATGGTAGCTCATGCTTTGTGCAGCACATTGTGTTTCCACCTGAAATGAAATGTGCTTTACAAATAAAGCTTTGCTTGATTAACCAAAATCTGCTTCTGTCTGTCCGGTTAAAGGCAACAGAGCAGGAAGTGATGAAGAAGAGTGTCCATTAGCCTCACTGCCTGGATGCATGGCACCCTTGTGTTAGCAACCAGCTCCCCAGCTGCTGTAGACTCCTTGAGCAAGGCAGTCTATAGTGGGGTTCTTCAGTAGCTGATTATTTACTGTGAAATACAAGACGTTTATTGCAAACATTAATTATTTCCTTTATACATTTTATGGCAAACGAATCAGCTTGTGACCACAACCCTAAAACATTTACTTGCTTTTATTTGCCTTTTAGTATTTGCACACAAATGTTTTTTTACAGATGCTATTATAACTTCCACCACCACACAGTCTTTATTTGAGCTGCTGTTGCATTCAGTGGTTTCATTATTTTGCAGTTGATTCTTAATTTGAAATCTAGTCTGCACATAGCATCCCTGCAAGTATTGAAGTTTGTTAATGTGAGCATTATGTTTGCATAAAAGACTATTTTTGTGTGTAACCACCGGCTGATTACTGCCTGGGAACAGTCATCAGTTATGAGCTGGTATGAAGGTTTGTGCCGGCAGACGAGACAGTTTTTTAAGACTGGTGCACAAACAATGCAAAGCCTGTATAATGGTTCACTCACTTGATTTAAATCATGTGACAAAACAGCTGATCATTATCTGATCATTACCGCCAGCTACTCAGAAACGGCCAGCATGTGAGGAGCCCCACATATGAGTGTCTGCAGTTTACTGAGAATGAATTCTGTCTGAACCTAAGTTGGTGAGGGTAAAATACTTTATCAGACAGCGGTCAGACTTGTGAGTCTCTTAAACTGGCACAGGCCACAGCTGATCGAATAGCACAGCACTGCAACAGCAGCAGGGCTTCATAAGCAGAGCAACTCAATACACCAACTACAACAAAACATTATGTGAGGTACAAATCAATTTAGCAAAGAATAAGATGATGTGAGCACATGGTGAACACAACTGAATGAGTGCTCATACAGTATGTGCCCTGGTCTGGTGAGGGCTGATTCCTGTTTGTCAAGCTGTTGTTGCAGGCAGAATATCTGGCATAAATAACACAAATCCATTGATGCATAATGCATCACAACACACAACAAGCTGGTAGCGGTGGTGAATTGTTGCAGTCACACGCATGTGACAGTGATTTTGATTAATAATGATGATAATGATGATGCCAGTGGTCTGTACAGCAGGTGTCAGCCCAGTAAACAGCCCCAGGAGGAAGACAGGGATAGGTTGGTGAGAAAAGAGCAAGTCTTCATGGCCAGAGACACCTGCAGACATTTCTTTCATCTTATAAAATTTGTAATTTGACCACTAGAAGGGCACACACCTCTGCGAAGGCTGATTGGTCAATTTACCAACGTTTTGCATGTTAAAAATAAACTGTTAATGGGTTCTAATGATGGTCATGTCCCACAGCTCCACAACATTTGATGGAAATCAGTTGAGTTGTTGTTGGGTAATCCTGGTTACAGAGGCAAACAAACAGCAATGAAAATATAAACTCCTTGGCTGACGTAAATACAAATTCATACAGTAAAGAATTCACCAAAGCTTTATTTTGTCAAACTTAATAACCATGGAGATTCTAATTACCTCCAACAAGGTGGTTATGTTTTTACCCCTGTGGTTTATTCGTTGGTTGGTTGGTTTGTTTACTTGGGGATAGGGGACTAAGAACTTTCGGCATGGATCCCGACAAACAGGATTTTTTTTACCCCACACTGTTTCTTAACATGTTTTGATATTTTCATTGATTTCCTATTGGGAATAATTAAATAGTAAATAATCTAATTTAGACCCAACTCTGAAACATCGCTGCAGAGTGCTATGTAGGGTTATGCAAAAAAGAATATGAAAATAAAAAGCAAGCATTCCCAGTCACACTAGGTTGGTAGAGAAATTACAAGAGAACAGAAAATAAATCGACATATTCATTTAGGGATCAGATTCTGACCATTGTCTCAAGTTATTCCTAAAGTGACTATTTTTATAATGAATATATAATGAGCACCACAATGTTTCAACTACAAACCAATCATTGGGCCCAGTGGGACAGTGTGGTATAGAAGATTAGCTCTGGGGATTTTATGTTTGCCTTGGAAATCAAATGGTGGCCACTGTGTATTTTCAACCACTGCGGTGTGTGTGTGTGTCAGACTGGATGCTCGAGTGAGTTACTCTCTGAACGGCTTAGTGTGGACTGTCCATCATACAGCTTGCCTGCGTGCCTGTCTTCTTACATGAATTATTGACTCTCTGCCTCACTTACCTTTTTTTTTTCTTTATCTAACTGGACTTTATGTCTGTCAGATTTTTGTCTTGTCCATAGCTCAAGCAGAATCAGCAGTGTGCTAAAGAGCTTTACTTGTGGAATTAATTATCTTTTCAAACGCCTCAGGAGGTTGATTAATAATCAACATGCATGTATGGAAGAGTGGATAGATCACGGTTTACATCCACCCATCATCTGTAGCAATTATTCTTTGAATGTTGATGGGGAGCTGGAGCCAATCCCAGCAGACACTGTGAGAAATAACCATCTATGCTCCAGTCACACCTACGGGCTATTTAGAGGCTCCAATTAACCTGCGCTGCAGGATGGTGGGAGTATAGAGTATAAACACATACAGAAATCCTGAGGCCATGCCCACCACTGTGCCACTATGCCGCTACCCTACCTTGGCCTGCAGTTTACCTCGTCCGTTATTATCCACGCTAATATGTTTTCTATTGTTGTCATAGCCAATATACTTTAGCTGGCTTCACCCCAGGATCAGTGATTGTATAGATAGTTACTATTGTCGCGTTAATAGTTACTCTCTGCCTTCATTTTGAGCCCAGTGGAATGGAAAATGTCCCCTTTATATGAAAAGACACTCAATGCCACAGGAAGCAGATTAGAGCTGGAATCAAATCTAGTGTAGAGTTCATAGCATTAATGTCACTATAGCTAAGAATCTGAATATGTCATTTCTGTCAGTAGAGTAGACTATCAGCGAGGGGCACAAACATCAGGAGGAAATCCACAGTTTGATGATAGCTCTCAAAATGAAAATTTATATTGTTGTATTTTAACTGTATTTTTACATCTGTATCTAACATCTTCAGTATATATGACAGCTAAAGTAGATTTAACTTAATATCAACAGTGTCTGACTGATATAACAAAAACATTTTAAACCATATGTGACTTGTTGCAAAATAACAAAATTACTCAAAGACTTACTTACTATTTTATGGTACAATGTTAGATTCAGAACAAATCCAGAGTATTATTCCAAGGACATCCTACTTTATTTATTTTAGAGCTGTGCTAATCGATATTTTACAACAACTGTGGAATCAAACCGGTAAAGCCAGTGTACGCTATGTGCCCAGCTCCAGATAGCAGACACACAAAGTTAGCAACAAGATGGTGAACATAGCAGAGCATTTAGCTGACCAAAAAGAGCTTAAAGAGATTGACAGTTAGACCGTAAACACATCTCCAAATACAAACAAACATTGCTCTATTTCTGCTGGATGTGTTTGTAATATTGTTTTTAATGGGATAATATGTCAATGATGAGTGTAAAGGTTACACTGGCTCCAAGCTGTGGAAAATAATGACGCAGGTTTAGGACTAAATTGTGTTTGTGAGAAAGTTTCCCTTTCTGGAGATAGCAAGATCTAATAGAAGACAATGATCCTCACAATAGAGTGACAAAATTAAATTAAATTAAAAAAGAGATTAATCTCCCACAACAAGGTTGTTTGGAGTGATTGAATGAAAAAATGGATATAATATGTGCTTGTGTCGTGCTTGTTCTACTCAGGTGGGCGTCGCCGGTCTGAGCCTGACGAGGCAGAGCTCCTGAGGGTCAGCAGGAAGTTGGTCGAGGACGCCGTCAATCGCGCCTTGCAACAATACAAACAGGAAACACTTCAAAATGGGGGCGGGCCTAATGCCACACAGGTCCCTGGAAACACTGAGGAAACTGCTACAAAGACGGACACTACATCCAACTCCACTGCAGACAAAAGGAAGTGACGTCATCGGGCCGAGGTACACAGACTGAAACACCAGCCGCCCACGAAACATTAGCTGGGCCTGGCTAACGAGGAGAAGTGTCAGTAAGCCCGGGCGGAACCAGCCAACCAGTCAGCCCAGTTTGCTGATTAACCAAACCAGCTAGACAACCACGATGGCTGGCCAGCCATGCTAGCTCCTGCCCACCTGATCTAGCTTGACACAATGCTAGGTAAATAGATAATGTAGCTTAAGATCAGTGCTACTAGTTGACCGTCTCAAGAGGTCAACTAGCTAAGCCTGGTAATGAACTCACTATCTCTGGTGTCCTTTCTATTTATGTGTAAAGACCAAACACGGGGCAAATTTTGCAATGTGCTTACAAACAAAATCAATGAAAGGACGCAAGTCGCCACAGATTTGCACCATGTGACACAAATAGACAAGAATATAAGTCCATGCTGGTTCAATATGTTTGAGTCTGATAAACTTATTATCACTCTCGAGTTTGTTAGTTACCCAGTTACTCCAAAAACAGTCCAGTGGCCGTGATCCCACACCAGGCTAAAATTTTCCTCCACGTTTGGTCTGATCACACCATAACGTCGAGGATGCTGCCCCTCGATCACTCATCTGTGGGTCTGTGTTTGCACGTCAACACAAATGTGAAGCACTCCTCTACAGAGACACATGCACACGCAGGGTTCACGGTGACCTCTTGCTCACAAACTGCCCTTCTAGAAGAAGATGAATCGCACCTGCACAAAAAACACTCAGTATCCATTATTCCTCTCTGACTACAACCCTCCTTTCTCCTTCACTGGATAGCTTCAGTTGAAGACAATGTTTTTACTTTTCTTTGAGCATAATTCCTTTTAGAAAATCCGTGATAGACGGTGTTGTGACTGGTTGGATTGTTCCAACGTTAAGACTTTAATGTATGTTGGACAGTGCAAGTTATTTTTGTTGTATTCTGCAGCGAGCCTCGGTTCAAAGCACTTTCTCTGTATCTACTTCAGGAACGGATCTTCTTTAAACTTCCAGCATCTTATTTTACGTTTCACTCGAGAAGTGTATCTGCAAACCAAAGTGCAGTTCTGTCTTCACTCTAAGTTGTTTATGGAAATTGGCCCCAGCTCAGCTCTAAGTATTATATACGACTGCTGTCCTGCCGAGGGAACACCAAGACAATCATTAAGTTGAGATAAATTCTGCTGGAAAGTTGCATTCATTTTTCTAAACAGAAACTGAAGTGATACAGCTCGTTAAAACCCCAATCTGGACTGGTCCATTAACAGTCTGCACCTACAGAATTAATCTGGCATTTCTCAATCACAATAATCTCCACTAATGATGCTACCTTTACAAAAACGTCCAGTCGAAGACACTAAATTGGAAATGCTCAAAAATACTATGCCACTACATGAAGACACACTACAAGCTGCCAAGAATGCATTTGTGCTCATTACATTAATGACCTCTATGTGACAGGCTGTCATTACTCATATTAGACACAGGCATTCATTTCATAGCACCACTTCTTTTCTCATGATCATTTATAAATGTTAATTATTTTTTCTTCTGTCGAATGAATCTGAAAAAGAGCGTACAGATTTATTTTCAGTTTAAACCTATCTATAAATTGTTTGTGATAACGTCTGCACCACAAACGGACGCCGGGCTGTTTGAGGCTCTGTGTATTTGCTCTGATCTGTGGAGCCTCGATTACAGCCAAACAGTCTTTGGCGGTGGTTAACTCCGACCAACGCTGCTGTCAGCTGAAAACCCTCTGGCTCTTAATTCCAGTGTCTTCCATCTGTTCATATAAACTCATATATTTGCCTTTGGTGTTATGCAGTCGACCCCACAGCTCATGAAATTCATTAAGCAACTCTTAAAGGTGATGGTTTTCCACTGACAGCAAGATGGTGATAATGCAGCCACGATAACGGCGATAGAAGTTGGTTTACTATGACGTTAAATATGTTGTTTTATCCTTTTTCAATGTTTTATTTATTTTCTTTGCTGTTAGAAGAATGATTCTCAAGTGAGTAAATGAAAAGATGTTTTATGTTCTGCTGATTCGAAAAATGTGCCCAGTTTGCCTTTGAAGGTTTAAAAGAAAAAAAAGCACAACATTTTCACCGATTTTCTGTTTTCTTTATCCATTGTCTTGTTTCCAGAGAGCAGGCGAATACAGAGATGCTGTTAAGTCAAACCACCTCTGTTCAAAGTTGCCTTTAGTCACTGAAACTAATCAATGTGAATTTTTGTTTGACTGTAAGTGCTTAAGGTGATAACATGTAGGTAACATCTTTGCCAACAGGAATGACTGGGTGATGATAAATGTTAACCTGCGGCTAAAGAGTCAGATGCTTGAGTTAAATGTAAAAAATGAAAAAAAATCAGCCAAAAGACAGAATTCATGTTATCGGTTAAATCAATTTGTGTGTGTGTGCAGACACAGAGAAACACAGAGAGACTCCGGCTCAATGTTTCAGCCATTTGAGGTTTAGTTCCCTCCAGAGCAAACAGGTGTGAGCTGGAAAATGTTCTCACATCCTTGAAATCCGCTTCAATCCTGTCACCGCTGAAACATCGATAACAGAAGTGAATTCTGTCTTAAGGTGGACTTTGATCGTTCTCGTTTGATCTTATTATTGTCACCAGATCCTTAATCTCCTTAAAATCCCCTTTAATACACAACTTGTCCTGTTGCTCTGTGTGATTATTCTGTTCATCTGTCTCTGAGCGTATGTGTGCGTGCGTGGCTGTGGGTTGTTTGATCAGTGGTTCCCCAGAGAAAATCTTGTCACTATCAGTCATGACAACTCAGAGCCGAGTGTGTGAACGCCTCTACAAATTTGTCTTCTCTGTTTGTCTTCCCTTTTCGTCCGTGCGTATGTCTGAGTATGTGGGCGTGTTGTTTGTACCATGTGGTATATCATGTTCTGCCATATTTGAACAATAAAACAGGATATGAGATTCAAAACCAATATCCTTGTCTCTGCCTGCTGATTTCAGCCAGATATGGACATCCACAGTGGTTATAGAGTGTGTGTGTGTGTGTGTGTGTGTGTGTGTGTGT